GTAATGCCAACGAAGTAAAAAAAAAAAAACAACAAAACACTTTAAGGTCTTAAACAATGGGAAAGAAAAAAAAAAAAAAGAATACGTAGAATTTATAGTTCTTGTACCTTTTCAAAAAAAAAAAAAAGACCTCTTGAGAAGTGACAGTGAAATCAATGCCAAAAAAAAAAAAAAAATATGGAATATTAAAACTAATTTAATTATCGTTATGTAAAAAAAAAAAAAGTAAATAGATTGCCGTTTTATTAGTCTTTTGTTGAACAATATCCAAACATGTCAAGCTATGTAGTTATTCTCTTTATTGCATTAGAAAAAAAAAAAAAACTAATTGCTTTCAATAATCAGTTGATTCGAAACGTAAAAAAAAAAAAAGTTTTTTTTTTAGCACTTGTGTGTTCATCTTCTTGGAAAAAAAAAAAAACATTCTTAAAACTCGCTCTTATCTGAGCCATTTGTTTGTCTGGCACCTCCTTTTCCTTTTATGTTGCTGTGGAAATKGGATATTAAAAAAAAAAAAAAGATGAGCTATGGATTTTACAATCCCGCAGTTTGTCTAAATATTATTTTCATTCGCTTATTTCTCTTTTTATTGCTTTTGTTTGGTAAAAAAAAAAAAAAAGGTGGCTTGATAGTATATAGGGCTATTCAGGAATAAAAAAAAAAAAACAACGTACTCCATTCTATCGTGTTTATTATTTATATAAAAAAAAAAAAAGAATCGGTGCTTTTGAAACCTCATACATACCTGAAAAAAAAAAAAAAAACATTTCCAAATAACAAATAAAACTGACGTTTAAATAAAAAAAAAAAAAAATTACTTATTGATGATATTAGTTTTCCATAATTGTTAAAAAAAAAAAAAACTCAGATGAGCTGGACATTTTTCCAATTCAATTTTAAAAAAAAAAAAAGTAAAAAGAACTTTATCTTTTTAACAGTTAAATGAAGCAGTCAATCTTAAACACTTTAGGCTTGTTTAATTTTATAAGCTAWWWAAAAAAAAAAAAAATCACGGCTGTTTCCRATATATTTACCGAAATGATTCAGCGTAATATGCTGTTTCATGGCAATTAATAATTGTTTATCGTTTAGATAAAAAAAAAAAAATTCAAGTGTTTATTTGTATATACTATATTTGTTTTGAAAAAAAAAAAAATATTTATGTTGGTTTATAGTATTCTTATGATATTGAAAAAAAAAAAAAAATATTTATTAGCAATGTCATGGTTACGAAGACAATAAAAAAAAAAAAAAAAGTAAACAGTGAAAANAAAAAAATATCATTTGCAAGAGAAAGTTAAAGTCGTATGCAAATCAGGACAAATCTCTTGCACATATAAAGATGTGGTCACGGCAATTTTCCATTGTGTTTACCTTATGAATTATTAATGAATTTGATGAGGTAAAAGCAGTACAAAAATCCATCTATTTTTTCATTTACTGCATATAATTTCACCGTTACCAGAGGCATTCTCAACTTCTCCTTTCCCAGTTTGAAAAAAAAAAAAATCATATGTATCATTCGCAACTCCCATGATCGTTGGCAAAATACCTTGGACCATATTAATTACCTTTGATCTTACAATATTTCATCTTTTCTCTAGGGTGGATGTATTTATTGTCAGGCAATGTTACTTTAAATCTGGAAATCCACACTGGGAAAAAATCGCGCGCTTTAAAGGTTGTAAATTTGATGTAAATATGATGTAAATGTCCAAAATTCTGTAAATTTAATGGAAATCATTTACATCAAATTTACAACCGGAAAAAAGCGCGCGATTTTTTCCAGTTATTACCCATACATTTTTGCAACGATTCTAGGTTAAAAATATCATAAAAGTCCAAAAACAAGTTTGCAAAAGAATACATTTACATTTGCTATTTTTATTGGTCGCAGTTACACAAACGATTTGAAAAAATCAATAAAAGAGATGTTACAAATATCTCTCAAATTTATGTTGCTATAGTACATAAAAATGACAAAAGCATATCTATCAAAAGTGAAAGATACTACAATTCTTTTTTCAAAATCAAATACTGTTACGATTAATKCTACAAAAATGTTTCATAACCTCAAGATGTTAGACTTTCTACAAACTCCTAGAAATCCCACGGGCCCCAATTATATAATGGGATCTAGATGTTACTAAGGAGTTTGTAGTGTTGGTTAGTTAGCTAAAGTGTGTAGCAATATATTTGATAAATATCTTTGTGTAAGATGTTTTCACTGAACTAATAAAAACAGAAAAAGGAAGTTGCTCTTTAAGTGATGAACCAAGTTTAAGTCTTGTTGAGCAATGTACACTAATGCACAAGTAGCGTCCRACAAGGAGAGTTGCAAGTGTCAGGCGTTCCAGATTTCTTTACAGTAAGATAAGTTTTTTGGTTCATATTTTCCTTGATTTTGCTGCGTTTTTGGTGAAATAAGGATGAATTAAGTTCTTGAATATAGTAAAGTATTTTGGCATTTCCAGATTGATACAGATTAGGCAGAATTAACGTAGCAGATTACACCCTGAAATAAAGAAAAATCGATGAGTAAAAAGAGAGACAATCACATTTCAAATGAACTTGTTTAAGCTTTTAATAAATATTATATTTAAATATTGTTGAAGCAATTACAAGAATTTTGATGAATTTGGCGTCTTCAACTGTCAATAGTTGCTAAAGAATCATTTCCAATATAAATTAGTGAATTAGGGTTTATTTATTTGTCATTAACGAGCTCACCAGCAGTCAGGAGATGGGTACACGGTGATCTTGGCCTCGGCTCTTGCCTGGACGTTATCTGACAAAGATAGGGCAATATAAGTAAATGTTTGGGAACTAGTGGTAAACTAGTGTGAGCTGCGTCGGTGTTCTCAAAGAAACAGTGATAAATGAATTGATTGATGGCCGATATAAATAAATTGATGATAAATAAAGGATATTCCATGGGCGCGCGGAGATACGGAATTTATCTTCGAGTGTTGAAAAGATTTAAAAGAGAGATTTTCAACACGACAAGATCAAATTCGTATCTCCAAGCGATCATGTAATATTCTATTTATCATATAATTATATATGAAAGCCAAATTATGTCGTAAAATACATTTTTTCTTACTATATAGAGAAACCTCCAATGTGTTATTTTCACTAGCGAAAATATCAACTTTACGAAATAGAGAAATATAGGTATTTCATAGATAATCATATGATAAAAATGATATCAATAAATTGATAGATACACAGCCGAGTGTTTAAATGAACAATCGATGAATGAATGAAAATCTGTAATCAAGTGAACATACCTTCATCGACCATTTCAGGTGCGATGATGGCTTGAGCGATAAGGAGGTCATCTTTAAGTGACATTCGACGTCGTGTTGAATCATGGGTAGATTTGATGAGATGACGACGATCGTGTGCATCCTTGTTCAGATCTCTCGTGTGGTCATCAGGAATTATGACGGATTTAGCAAATTTAAGCTGTTTTGGAAGAGAAAAACAGTTAAAGTAAGTGAACAACCTCTTGTTTATGAGACACAAGACGTGGAAAGGAAAGATCTTATGATAATTTGAACTACTTTTACTTGGATTATATTTATCTTTTATTGCGAAGTCTCTATTCCTATAGTTGAAAGTTCGATAAAATGATAATTCATATGTAATAACTATGTCAGGTGTGTACGATATACAAACTGAACAAGAAACGTTTTAAATATGTATTTGTAGAACAGATACAAAGAAATATCACGCTAAGCATATGAGGTTTTTTGTCAAATATTCTTTACATAGTCAATAATTACTTACTTGGTCTAAGAGTGAATCCCTTCTCTCGTTGAGTGCCGCTTCCTTGATAACCTTTCTCTTCTCAGCGGCCTGATGGTCATGTCTTTTCTCATTTTCGTTTTGTACAAGAACACGTGCAGCGTAYTGCAGGAGATCGGGTGAAAGTCCTCCTGTATGGCCAATCGACCGACGATGAATTAACTACAGAAAATCAGAATCACCTTAGATACAGCACTATATACCGTATATATCACAACTAAAATGACTTAAATCGAAAAAGTATGTCAGTGTGTYGAACGTTTTGCAATGGTATATAGAGGATATTACATGGGCGCGCGGAGATACGGATTTTATCTTCGAGTGTTGAAAARATCTCTCACRAGTGAGCGTAGCGAAGGTTTTCAACACGAGAAGATAAAATTCGTATCTCCAAGCTACCATGTAATATTCTGTTTATCATATCATTACATATGAAAGCAAATTATGTCGAGTAAAATAGCTTTTGTCCTACTTCCACTATATAGAGAAACTTCGAATCAATGTGTCATTTTCTCACTAGTGAAAATATCAACTTTAGAAAATGGAGAAATATGCTGTAGGCACTTCATAGATGATTATATGATTAAAAAAAATCTCTAATTGTCTTGAATCGAAAGGTGTCCAAACCAACTTTTAAGAGGTTTTTTCAATCATCACAGAATGACTGGAAGACTTTTTGCTTACTTTACGGTTCTCGTTGCGTTTCCTGYTTTGATGGCGATCGTAGTCCGATTCCATTATGATAGACCTTGCGTACTGCAGCTGATCGTCCAGAGATTGTCGACGATACATGGCATCATGACCTTTGATGATCGATCTCTTTTCAGCAGATTTACGRTCGTCCTTCTCTCTGTCACTAGCCCCAATAATGACAGATTTGGCGTACTGTATTCCACTGTTCAGATCGTTCTTGTCTGGATCAAAGGTGACCTTAGTACAAGAAAAAATGAATCATTTAGCAATAAATGATGGAATTTAGGTTGTGATCTATAACGACAGCCCACTATTTATTCTTTAAATTTCATTTTATGGTGTTGCGACTGTGGAGTTAGTTTGCTTTAATAAAATGCCATTTTGACCCAAGGGTGGGTGGTRCATGTAYATCGAGTGACCYCTCCTACATCTCCCCACCCCACCCCCCTTCGAGGATAAAATCGATATCACGCTTACCTTTTTGATGATCTTTCGTCTTTCAGCAACATGTCTATCGTGTTGTTTATCTTGTCGTGACATTCCCTCGTATCTATTTGGTTTAAGTTGATCAGAATTTYCACCTGCCAATAAAACACAAAGTATCAAAACCGCGTCTGAATTTAGTCACCGTCAGCATTCCGGAACATCCATCACAAGCACTCTACTTTTCTATTGCAGTCCCGGTCCCTATTTTCATCACAAATCTGTTTASCATTTATTGCTAATTTACCTTCGCTAACTTCATCAATAACCTCGATCTTGTCCTTATTGAACCCCGATAGGCGTCTGGTTTTTGTAGCTGTAGAGGTCGGTGGACCGTCACCTCCRGCCTCAACATCTTCTGATCGGCGACGTCGCGTTCGCTGCCATTCCCTAAACTCTCTGTATTTCTTCCCGCATCTTTTTATAGAATAAATACTTGTTATTTAATACAATGATGATGGTCATTACTTATCTCACATASACTTACTCGCACTTGAAGCTTAAATACAGTCCAGCAACTAGGGCCAGGAATGCCCATCCAGTAATAGCAAAGTAGAAAGAGATGGAATGCCAAAATGGAGGTGGTGTGCACTGATCGTCCGAGTTCTGAAAAGTCGAGGAATRATTATCGAGGATTTAATAATACGCAAGAAAACAGAATACTTGAAAAGACATCTACAATATTTCAGGCTCTTAACTATATTTCTTGTCCTTTTTAATTCACAACAGTATTCCCTTTCATTTTATCTCTTATCACCTCAGTATAACTTACTTGTGCCTCGTGWCGTCTCTTGCCATCTCCGCTGGAATAAGTATAACGGTCACTACGTTTCTTACGACGAAGCCTCATATTGGCCTCGGGTGGCATCGAGTTGATATGAGTTGGCATCGTGGTGGTCTCTGTGGAAAATTGGTGTRCATTATTTCAATTAAATCAATCTTGAAAAACAGCCACTTAAGTTACAAAATACTGTTATCTAATAAAAATAAACATAACTCATAACATATAACTCATCTCAATTATACTATAAGAAGCTATTAATTGTGGAAATGCAATCTAGTTATCATGATAGTAATACATAAYTATACCTTTGATAAGTGCATATTCCGATGGTTTGGAGTCACTATCGTATGTCTTATATAAACCAACTAAGCTCTCTTTGTTGTCAACTGTAACTCTGTGGAGACCGAATCGGTCGGCAACTCTAGGGCTCCACTCCTCGCCAAGGACTCTGTTAACGTTATCTATWAAAGATTAAAACAGACGTTTAAAATCTAATATTAATCATAATAGACTGTATGAATTATAATATTAACTTTTGAAGATCATCTTTGTCCTTTGTCTCGATCTCATCTCACTAAACACTTTATTATACATTGAAATACATCCCTTACCTTGGCAGCTGTGCATGTTGCAACTKCGAGATTCTTCTGCAAGGCCAGAACAGTCCTGTCCACCGTTCTTTGGAGGAGGGTTGGTGCAAGATCTTTTTCTAGATTGTAAACCACGTCCACAAGACTTACTGCAAGATGACCATTCAGTGAAGTCGCTCCAGCCGCCGTCAACTGAGAAGAAATTTGAAATTAATCATGAAACACGGCAAAAAAGTTTACAGATTCTCATTCGGTTATCATGGAATAAATTTCCAGATACCTCAACTTATCTAGATTCATCAACTTTCAATTTATAGAGTAAATAACAAAAAACGTACCAGGGCATTCTTCCTGRCCACAATCGCGGGATTCCTCTGCYTGSCCAAAGCAGTCCTGTCCACCGTTCTCGGGAGCAGGGTTGGTGCAAGATCTACTTCTTGATTGTATACCACCCCCGCAAGTCTTACTGCAAGATGACCAATCAGTGAAGTCGCTCCAGCCACCATCAACTGAGAAATTTKAATTGAAGTTGAACATGAAATAAAGATTTGAAGAATTCTTACGAAATATCATTCTATAGTAATAAAATAGCGAGTGCCAAGATAGGAAAAAAAGAAAATATATTGATTAAAACTTTTTTTAGAATTCAATTCAAGCTGGACTTTTAACTTGCCCGCACAAACTTGATCGTTACAGCTGCGAGTGTCTTTCGAAGGGCCRGAGCAGTCTTGTCCACCGTTTTGAGGTTCAGGTTGGGTACAAGATCTTGTTCTTGATTGTATGCCACCTCCGCAGGTCTTACTGCAGGAAGACCACTCGGTAAAGTCGCTCCAGCCGCCATCGACTAAAAAACAAAATGTTGAATGAAAGTAAATAAACAAGACTGCGATGATAAAGACTGGAAGTATTCAATAAAGCTCATGTAAAACGTAGTTTATCATAGACTTGTAACTTACCTGCGCATTCTTCTTCGTTACAGTGGCGGGATTCTTGTGCAACGCCAGAGCAGTCCTGCCCTCCATTCTCAGGAGCCGGGCTGGTGCAAGATCTACTTCTAGTTTGTATGCCACCTCCGCAAGTCTTAGTACAGGAAGACCAATCGGTGAAGTCGCTCCAGCCGCCGTCAACTTAAAATTTGAATTTAAATTACTGTGAACAAATGGTTAACCGGACAGACAACGATCATGCATTAATGCTGCTTACCAGGGCAATCGTTGGAGTTACATGTTCTGCTCTCCTCAGTTAGTCCAATACAGTCTTTACCACCGTTTGAGGGGTAGGGGTTACTGCAGGTCCTCATCCTCTTTTGAATACCACCTCCACATGATTTACTACATGCTGTCCAGTCACTGAATTCACTCCACTCACCATCGACTAAATAAGTTAACAAAATAAAGAGAATTGAGAAAGAATGAAATATAGGAAAATACAAGAAAAGAAGGAAAATAACCATCATTTGATAATTGATGGTGTTGCTGTTGTGCCTTATAAACTTCAATTCAACACTACCAACGAAAGAAGGAGTGACACTGTTACCTGGTAAGTAAAGGTTAAGTATCATTCCTGGACAAGCACCCATGTTGCATGGTTGATGTTCTGAAGCCGGGCCTTCACACATGCTACCGCCATTTTGTGGAGGAGGGTTGGTGCAGGTACGGACTCTAGTTTGAGTACCGCCTCCGCAGGATCTGCTACATACCGACCAGTCAGTGAAGTCGCTCCATCCACCGTCAACTACAGGAAATGATAAGGTAACATTGAAATTAATAATTATTGTCAAGCGCCTTTATCTACTTGATAGTAATTTATTGATGGCTGGTAAACTTCGGGTTTCAATCGCTACAAATATACCATTGATCACTACTGCATGGATTCTTTGCCAATATACTATGAATGCTACAACAATGAGCTAAACAACTATCCTTGAAGCCATCATGGCCGATTACTAGTCCACTTCTTATTCCATGAGTTTCACCACACACACTGGAAAAAATCGCGCACTTTAAAGGCCCGTGTACATTTGCGATTTTGAAGCGCGATTGTGTCGCGACAATCGCCTGAGCTTCGAACATATGCTTGAAATTTAGCTGGAACTCGCGGCGATTTTCGATCTCCGCGATAATCGCAGGGCTGTTTACRCATATGATTTTAGTGCGCAATAGCAAAATGGTGATTGTCGCGCGACAATCGTGTAAATCAGCCTTTAAAAAGGTTGTAAATTTGATGTAAATATTATGTAAGTGTCCAAAATGATGTAAATTTGATGTGAATGTAAAGTGCGTGATTTTTTTTGCAGTCAAATCGAGCAATAATTTTTACTAACCTGCCCCAATGTTGACAGAGTTCAAAGAGTTGTAATCTGGTTGTTCGGTTACAATCTCTGACTGATCAGGATTTATCTAATGACGTTCAGGTAAGACGTGAATGAGACATTTTGAAGAATGATTCTATATTTTAGTTAGTGATATTAGTAAATATGTGTTCAATGTAACGCTTCCAAATGTGCTGCAATAGTATTATTTTTCTCGCCAT